AGTATAGTCTAGGACACCTACTCAACTGGATAACGATAAGGACTTCCGGAAAACAGAGATACACCTAAGAGATGGCTACAGGTCAAACCGTGCCCAACTTTTGGAAATATGTACCCGGCTGCTGAATCAGTCACAAGAGACACGAGAAGGAAGCATGCTTCTCCACACAAAGGCTTTACGGTCTCTGCATTTGAGAGGACCCTTCTACCTTCTGCCCAGGACAAGAAAAACTGGCTGCACTGCTCTGGTACTTGGACTTACTTATTCATGGATTCATCTCGCCTCATCCACAGAAAAGGGGAATTTTCTTCTTCCCTCATGTCTGAATATGCTTCAAGTCTGGACTCCATGTTTTGCAATGCCTCCCTTACATCAAGGGTTAGTCTCACCATTCTCCCTGTGAAATGGGATTCTGGGAGGAAGAGTATGTGCACCGCCAAATTCCAATATACTGAATTAGGCTTTTCTATTCCTTCCTCACCCCACAGCTCTTGTCACTTAGGGAATTTCCTATTTCTGTCTGGACCTATGGTGTCCATGTCAGATTTCTGACCTGGTCAAGTGTACTGGGCACACCAGAAGCTATGTATTATTTAGGAACCAAAAAGCAATATAAAACGTACCAGGGAAATAGTCCCAAGGGACTTGTGAATTGTGAAACTGAAATGGAACCGAATATTATCGGGACTTGACAGCATTTGCTCCTCAGCACCAGGTGGCAGTGTTACTAAACACGTGTACAATCTGTGTGGAGGGTTGATTATGGATTTAAGCTAATTTTAGTCAATCACATGGCTTCTGACAAGATCCAGATCACTTTGACCTATAAACTGGGATCTCAGAAGACTGTGAGAAGGAGGGAATAGCGGCAGCACTATTCTCACGGGAGGGTACAATTCTCTGTGTGCCCAGCGGAACCCTGTGTGCCCACAGATCCAACACCGGAGCTTTTGCTGACAGGCTGAGCAGCTACAGCTCGTCAAACTCCCCTTCATCTTTCCTTTCTTTCTTTCTTTTTTAAGTTTATTTATTTTGAGAGAAAAAGAGAGTGTGTGTGTGTGTGTGTGTGAACAGGGAAGGGACAGAGAGAAAGAGAGGAAAGGGGGGGTAGAGGGGGAGAGAAAGAGAGAGAGAGAGAGAGAGAGAGAGAGAACGAATGAGCCCCATGCAGGCTCTGAGCCGTCAGGGCAGAGCCCGATGCCGGGTTTCAACTCATGAACCGTGAGATCATGACCTGAGCCGAAATCAAGAGTCGGACGCTTAACTGGTGGAGCCACCCAGGTGCCCCTCACACTCTTCCTTCATCTTTCAATGGACAGTGTTTTATGGTTCTTAAGGCATTCCTTGGGGTCCATTTCTCACTCCCCCTGTTATTAACTTGGTTTGAAAGTTTATTACAAAGAGCCTCTAATGTATAATACAATGGAAGCTATGCATAAAAATAAATGTCTTTAAATTTAATGATTAAGGGGCGCCTGGGTGACTCAGTCGGTTAAGCGTCCGACTTCAGCTCAGGTCATGATCTCGCGGTTCGTGAGTTCAAGCCCTGCGTCGGGCTCTGTGCTAACAGCTCAGAGCCTGGAGCCTGTTTCAAATTCTGTGCCTCCCGCTCTCTCTCTGACCCTCCCCCGTTCATGCTCTGTCTCTGTCTCAAAAATAAATAAACGTTAAAAAATAAAATAAAATAAACTTAATGATTAAGATTTTTTTCTCCTTTTCATTGCAGTTGCCCTATTTGTGGCAAATTAACTCATTTTTTATTGCTTTTAAGGTGATGGAAATTTTTTATCTCTTGATCTTGGTGGTAGTTACAATGTTTAAGTTACATTTATAAAATGTTACAAGGTTGACACTTTAGATTTGAATATGTATACTATGTATTAATTATATCCCAGTAAGAAACTGTTCAAATCCTAGAGCAGCTAGAGTTTTACAAAATTAATGTGAGTCTCAGGGTGTCTGGCTGGCTCAGTCAATACGGCATGTGACTCTTGGTCTCGGGGTTGTGAGTTCATGTCCCACATTGGATGTGGAGCCTACTTAAAATAAAATTAAAAAAAAAATTAGCCTGGGTCTCAGTTTTCACACACATACAATACTGGTGTTAATGCTACCTTCATCTCATGATTATATAATTTATGTTGCCATGTGAAGAGCTATTCTCTGTACAATAAAAATGCTAACACCAGGTGCTACTGGACTTAAGAAACAAAGCTTAAGAGCATTTTGATTGTTTGCAATTGCCCGGAAATCTCTGCGTAGTTCTCATTTCCTCCCCGCCTTTCTCCTGGCCGTGGTTGGAGTGCTGCTCCAACCCACTGCAAAACCTATCCAGCCAAGAAGAGTGTGGCCTGCCACCTGCTGTACTCTTGAGACGTGAGAGTACTCTGCTGCAGTGCCGAGGACAGACTCTGGATATTGGGCAGGGCTCTGGGAAGCTTTGTTTACCCTTTCAGAAAGCAGGCATTGACTTCCTGAGCCTGGTTTGAATTATAATACTGATCAGTAATAGGAAACCTCTTTTATCCTAAGGTCTGTGCTCTAAATGGTTCTCTGGGTCCTGGGTCTGTTTCTTCATTTGGTTCTGACAAGAACTCTGGGAGTTGGCAGTGCAAGAACCCTTAAGCCCATCATTCAGAAAGCAAAGGGGAAGTGACTGCCTCCACTGAACACCCAGGGCTGATAAGCCGGACCAGAAGGAACACAGGCAGGATGTTCCTTCTCTCCCTCAACACATGTTTTGCAAAAATTGCATTTTATATAGCATAGTTTAAAAAAAATTTTTTTTTCAACGTTTTTATTTATTTATGGGACAGACAGAGACAGAGCATGAACGGGGGAGGGGCAGAGAGAGAGGGAGACACAGAATCGGAAACAGGCTCCAGGCTCCGAGCCATCAGCCCAGAGCCTGACGCGGGGCTCGAACTCACGGACCGTGAGATCGTGACCTGGCTGAAGTCGGACGCTTAACCGACTGCGCCACCCAGGCGCCCCTAGCATAGTTTTTAATATATGTTTGACCTTCAGGACTCTAAATGCAAACACAGTAAAAATGAAGCATGGGAATATAGTATTAAAAAACTGGCTTAAATCATCATCTAAATATCTAAAAACATTATGGATATATTGCTGATGGGAATGTAAAATGGTACAGCCTTTCTGGAAAACACTATGGCAGTTTCTTAATAAACTAAAACATGAAATTACCAAATGACCCAACATCTGCACTCCTGGGCATTTATCCGAGACAAATGGAAATTTCTGCACAAAAACCTGTACAGAAATGTTCACAGAAGTTTTATTTGCAACAGCTAAAAACTGAAAACTACCCAGATGTCCTTCAACAGGCAAACTGCCAGAAATGGTTAAACACATTTTGGTACTTCTACTTGACTGGGTGGAAGAGTAAAAAGGAACAAACTACTGAAAAACCTAATAATTTCAATGAAATCATGCTAAATGAAGAAAGAAAATCCCAAAGGTTTCTATATCATTCCATTTACATAACATCCTTGAAATGACATTATAGAAATGGGGACAGCTTCGTGGCTACCAGGGTTAAGGATGGGAGGAGAGGGAAAGGAAGTATGACAGGGAAGTCAGTGTGAGAATACAAGCACAACACAAAGGATCCTTGTGTTGATGTAAGTCTTCGGTATCTTGACTGTGGTGTTGGATATACAAAGCTACATATGACATAAAATTGCACAGAAATATAGACGTGCACATAAACACAGAAGTGAATGTGAATAAAACTGAGGAAATGTGAACCAGATGGGTAGATTTTACCGGTATCCTAGTTGTGATATTGTACTTTATTTTGCAAGCTGTCATCAGTGGGGGAATGGGTAAAGGGTAAATACAGAAATGGGATCTTTCTGTATTTATTTTTTAAAGTTTATTTGGAGAGAGCGTACGTGTGCACATGTGTGCACGCAGGAGGGGTAGAGGCAGAGAGAGAGGGAAAGAGAACCCCAATCTGACAGTGCGGAGCCCCATGCAGGGCTCAAACTCACGAACCATGAAATCATGACCTGAGATGTCTTGATTTAGACTTGGACGCTTAGCTTACTGAGCCACCCAGGTGCCCCTCTGTATTATTTCTTGTAACTGCATGTGAATCTGTAATTATCTCAAAATAAGAAGTTTAATTAAAAAGCTATGGGTTTTACTTGGTATTTGTTCATTTATCAAGCCATTGGTTATAAAGAAAACTAATTTAGTCAACAAATATTTACAATGCTAAGTGCGGGGGATATGGCAACAAACAAGGCAGACAGAAGTGCCTGCCCCCACAGGAGCTTACATTCAGATGGGGAGGAGACATAGTGCACACAGTAAGAAAACAGCAAACCAGGTTAGCTGGTGAAGCCTTAGGGAGAAAATAAGGCATGGGAGGACAGGGGTAAGGGTTCTTTAAAACAGGGTGACCAGAGAAGGCCTCACCTGTATGGAGAATGCTTAAGATTTGAAGGAAGAAAGGGAGCAAGCCCTATATGGGAGGAAAGTACTCCAGGCGAAGGCAACAAGTGCAAAGGCCTGTCCTGAGGCAGGAGCAAGCCTGGCACATTTGTGGAAAGGCAGAAGGGCCAACGAGACCAGGGCAAGCAAGGCAGGAAGTAAGAGATGAGGCAGGGGTCAGGAGGCCATGGACCAGTGACAAGGCCCTGGCTTTTAATGGAGGGCGATGGGACACTACTGGGCGGTTTTGAGCAGAGTGATGTCGTGCTCTAACTTCTGGTTTATCAGGATTACTCTGGCTGCTGGGTGAAGAGCAGGGAAGGGAGTGGCAATGGCAAAAGCTCTATAACCAGAGTGGAGGCTCCTGCAAAATCCAGACGGAAACACAGGGCAAATGACAGGAGTTACCATGTTGTTGCCGGTATGTATCCATCTCGACAGGTAAACAACAAATATTTTTTGTACCTCACTGATATCCTTATAAAATATTACTCTGTGTTTTGTACCCTGGGCAAAGCTAGGGCTTTAACTGTACAAACCTTATCTTGTGACCCAGATGGCGTCTCTTCTAGAGTCTCGGTGCTTCCCAGATTGGAGAGCTGAGTGCTTGGCTGTAACCCAGGGCTGGAGATATTGGAGTCGCCCATCTGATTCTGAAATTAAAAGGAAAAGTATATCATGTGAACAGTTTGCTGACTACTATTTGGCTCATAAGACATCTGAGGTTATCAGCAATGCTATTTTAAAAACAAGCAAAAATTCCCCCAAATGTTTTGCTTTGGACCCTCAGGTAAGTAACTTAAAAAATAAAATTTCTAGACAGTTGAGCACTTGGTTTTAGATAATAGTGACAATTGTTTTTATATCCCTTGAAGTGCATATATTACTGCTAAGTAGTGTTGCACTGCATGACCACATTACTGTCTTGTGGAACACTCACCCATAGGAGGTCATTTGTGCTATTTCCAGTTTTTGGTAATTACGTATAGAGCTTTTATATTCATAAAACCTCATGCACGGGTTTTTGTGTGGACAAAAGCATCATTTCTCTAGAGTAAATACCTGGCGGTGGTATACCTAGGTCATATGGTAAGATGCATTTTTCTTCTAAATTTTTGTAGTTTTAAATTTAGATTTAGGATCCATTTTGAGTTGATTTTTGTATAAGGTGTTACATTTATGTTATGGATTTTTTTTTTCTTTTTTTGTATGTGGATGGCCAATTGTTCCCAACACTATTGGTTGAAATCATTGTATACTCTTAAAACTTAAACTAAAAAGATCTCTAAGCATTACCATCAAGATGACAGTCATTAAATGTTTTAAAATTCCTGTTAACTTATATGTAACACCAAAAGTGAAAATACTTTTGGTCTTAAAGAGAATCCTAAAAACAGATCATTAGGTGGGCACAGAATTATGAATTCTTAGGAACTGAAGTTATTATATTTGGGCTATGTGATCCATTACCCATGTCACAATGGACACCAGAAACAGTTTAGAACACTCAGGAGACCAGATTTAAAAATGAAGCCCCAAACTTCAGTCCAGGGACACATTAATTTTGATAGCAGAGAATAAGTACATGTGCTTAGCACAGCGTTAGATACTCCAATGTTAAATGAATGGCTAAAATGCATTCATTCTATTCAAATGACATAATCCTTATAACACTTTTTATTCAGTGTTATCCATTTAGACAGAGGTGAAATAGCCTGGGACAGCCTATGAAATATCTTTTTAAAAACATCTATTACTGAAATACAGTTGACACACAATGTTATATTGGTTTCAGGTGCACAACATGGTGATTAGACAATTCTACCTATCACACAGGCTTCACCCAGGCAAGTGTGGTCACCATGCAAAGTTATTACAACATTACTGATTACATTCCCTGTGCTGTATTTTTCATCCCCATCACTTACTCATTTTATAACTGGAAGTCTGTACTTCTTAACCCCCTTCAACTGCCTATGAAATATCTTATTTTCTACCCCTTTGTGCAATACCACCATCAATATGTACTAACATATTATGGAGAATGCTTGGAATTAAACTGCATCACAGAAAAGCTCAAAACAATGTTCATAACAAGTTCCTAAGAGCAGAGGGTATACAATGTTCAGAAACATTTTCAAAATTGGGAGTTTTTCACATAAAAATCCCAGCTTCTGGGGCGCCTGGGTGGCGCAGTTGGTTAAGCGTCCGACTTCAGCCAGGTCATGATCTCACGGTCCGTGAGTTCGAGCCCCGCATTGGGCTCTGGGCTGATGGCTCAGAGCCTGGAGCCTGCTTCCGATTCTGTGTCTCCCTCTCTCTCTGCCCCTCCCCCATTCATGCTCTGTCTCTCTCTGTCCCAAAAATAAATAAAAAACGTTGAAAAAAAAAAAATAAATCCTAGCTTGTTATTTTCGGAGAGAAGCTGGACACCTTTGCAACAACTGGCTGGAGCTGAGCTGCACATGACTCTCTGATGCAGGGCCAGGTTCTGTTTGCATCAGGGCTACCCTGGCCCACCCACTACATGTGCTTCCATGGCCCATGTGGTTTTTGGGGCAGTTTAGTCTCCTCTACTTAACTCAACATGAACTACAAGATGGGCTGTACTTTAAAAGGTCTCAGACATTTTTTTTATACATGTGCAGGGCTGTTCTTGGAAGGTTTAATCTGAGTTTGTAGATGACACTTGCTATTTGTATAGATTCGGGGAAATGGACAAACTTTCTGGAGGGTAATTTTATTATAATATTTAGTGAAAACCTTAAAAATGACAAAATCCTTTGATCTACCAATTGTATTTCAACTAGTTTATCTTAACAGAAAATGCTGAACACGAAGACTTAGCCACAGGATATATTTCTGAGTTCTTAAGAGAATCAGAAAAGAACAGCATATTGTTTATGTAAAGCACGGGAGAAAAAACATGCAGCTATTAATACCACTCTTCTCTTTTTCAAAAAGTTTTCATTCTACCGAAAGAAATCTCACAGGGACTCCCCTGTGAGATGAATAAATAGCTACTGTCATCAAGGTATTGTTCTTTGAAAAAAAAAACTGGTTACAAAAGAGTTAATAAAAGCGACTTTTAAAACTACTTAATAATAAAACTAGTGTAGAGAAGCATACCACACACTCTGGGACACATTTACACATATTTTTGGAAGGATACAAAGTATTATCAGTGATTATTTCTAGGTGGTGGGATTATGTTTTTTTCTTTTACTCTAATCTTTAAATATGAAATACAAACAACCTCTCAACCAAAATCCAGGATTATATCCTGTGGCTACAAGCAACTCAGTAAGGGGCCGCTGTAAAGGATTGTGGCTTTAGCTATCTTTCTTACCTTTATCACTATTACTTTTTAATGTTTTGTTTATTGTTTAGAGAGAGAGTATGACAGGGGAGGGGCAGAGAGAGAGGGGGACAGAGGATCTAAAGCGGGCTCCATGCTGATAGCAGTGAGCCTGACGCGGGGCTCAAACTCATGAACCATGAGATCGTGACCTGAGCCAAAGTTGGACGCTCAACCGACTGAGCCACCTGGAGGCCTGTTTCTTACCTTTAAAAAAGGTAAGTTGGTTAAAACAAACTATAGGACTTTAGGAGAAAACGTTTACTATAGAGTTTTAATTTCCCAACAGTCTTTACTATAAATCCTTCACCCCAAAGTGTGGAATTTCATTCACGGTGGGTGGGGGAGATTTAGGATTGGGGTTACATGCCATCACTGAGGCATGGCTTGCACCTCTGCCCTAGACTGTCAATCTAAGTCTCTACTACAGATAAACAAAGGGCCATCTGGAGCTGCGAGGCAGCTGAGAGCGCCCATGCAAACACTTGGCTATGAATTCATGGGTCACTGCGAATTCCAACTCCCATTTGGTTGGACGACAGGCAAGTGTAGACATGAAAAAAACCTGCTCTTTCAGGAAGCTCCACCTATTTACAGATAGTTTTCAAAACCAGAAAGAATACATTACAAAAAGGAAGTACCAAAGATTTACAAAATTCCCAAAGGTTTATTAGTTTTAATCTAGCCATAGACATCATTTTACTTATTCCATAGCATGGGGGAATTTTCTTTACAACGGTAATTACCGTGCTCTCCACATTCTTACCTTTTGCAATGTGTCACATTTTCAGATTGCCTGCTTGACCTAGAGTTCCTTTATAGCTTTGTGGACAAAACCAAGGCTCTGTTCCTTCTTTCATTTTGTGGCTACTTGCTTCTTAGGCTGAGGAGTAAGCCAGGCCACTTCCCAGAGCACCAGCTCTGGTGCACAGCACCTACGCTTTCTGTCCCATGTGGCACCATGGTCTAGTCATCACTAGGAATGCGTGACAGAGCCCTGGATTTATTAGCTACCTGTTCTCAGAACACAAAAAGGCCTCTATAAAAACAGAACAAGGCATCTATATAGATAGCCAGATCTCATTAAGGATATGAGAGGGAATTTGGGGGAATATAAGGTGACCTAAAAGAACAGAAAATTATTCTCGGAATTTATTCTCATCCAGTTAGGATCCTAAGTGTTCATGCATCCACTACAGAGATGACTGCTTTTCCTACATTAATTTTCAGAGTTCCATAAATTCCTCTTAATTCTCTATGAGACACTGAGGAATTTGATGCAACTTGAACTTCTCAGGGGCTCTAATGTACACTTCTCTACCTCAGAAGTGAGATTTCCTTTGGTGTTTGAATAGGACTTTTCCTTTGCTGGAGGAAACTACCTTCCAGAGCACTGTTTCAAAGTCTGCTCCCTAAACTCTAGATTCTTGAGATGCTGAAGTGGAATATGAGAAAAATGGTCCCATAGTTCGATCAACCTGGGAATCGGTGCTACTGTACTTATTGTAGGGCCCCTCAGAGTCTTGAGCATTGCAAAGCCCAAAGCCCCAGGAGGATGGGGGAGGAGGAGCCATGTTAACAACATTTCCTTAACTCACTTGACCAACTGGAACCTTTCCTAAGGGTCACCTGTTAACTATGTAGAGGCTAGTGTTAGAGCAGAATTGTTTGGGAAACACACCATAGAGAGTGCTTTTCACACCTGTCCCTGGAACTTTTGGTGAGGTGAGGATTACACAAAAAACAAAAGAAAAGTACTTAATCACATATGAGTAAAGAGTAAGGTGACAATTACAATTCCACTGAAACAAAGTGCAGCAGTGGAAACCTTCAGTCTGCCTCCTATGAAGCGTGAAGCTCTCAGGGGCCCATGTCAAGTGAAAAGTCAGGGTAGTTCCAAAGCCACGCAGTTTGAAGACCACTAATGAAATGCCCACTGCTTGACGCATGTGGACGGTTCGTAAGTGTGTAGTGAATAAGTTAACAAATGCACTACAACTTCCATTTTATTCAATTTCAGGGAGAAAACGCCATCCTTTCACTTTTAAACTAATATACAGAAAAAAAAAAATCTAGAAAAGCTTCACACGTGGGTAGAATTCCAAATAATGCTTAATGAAGGCTGTGAACCTACCATCAACTGGAGACCATAAATATACCCTTTGCATTAGCAGGTGCAAATGATCAGGCTACACATATTCCTAAGCCCTAGCAGAGGCTGCAGGGGTGAAGAACAGGAAGAAGCTTTTGAAGAACTACCTGCTGCAGGCTAACTTTTGCACCCTGAAACCATTTTCAGTAATTTTATGGGAACAGAAAAAGAGCATTCTAAACTTTCACACCAAGTCAAGGGCTTGGACGTAAGCAAATTTCTTTCCCTTTTAGGCTAAAAACTGTAAGACATGTATTCTTTCTGGACTAATTATCTCTGCTGGCCTAGAGGTGACTTCCCCAGCACATGCCCCCACGCCCCCTCCCCCTACTCCCCGCCTGCCTCCTTCTCCCCTCTTGGTCCTCCCAGTCCATCTCACCCTCTCATATTCATCCTTGGCTCTGCTTAGCATCTCCAGAATGTCGATGGGCCTGTGGTCACTGCAGCCGTTAGCCTGGCTGGAGGACTCTGTTTGTCCCGAGCAGCTTGCTGGGACCGCCGTGTCTCCTCTTCTACCACACTAGAGGAAGAGAACCAGATTTTAGAAAGACTTCTTTAGGCACAATCTGACCCACGAACTCTCCTGGTGTTTGTCTTCCGGGGATCTGGAAAGAATGTCATAGGATACGCTTCCTCCGAACACAATTGCAGGGCCTCGGTCTGTATTGGGAGTACATAACTAACTACTTTATCAGCTCATGTGCAACAATGCCCTTGTCTCACTGTTAGAGGGGCAGGCTGGGAGTGCACTGAGATGGTAGGGCAGTTATGTTAGCAATAAACCAAGTCTCTTTTTGAAGTCTCAAACTCAAACTACCAGGTGAAGTACATTTTCAAAAGCATGTAGTCAGCAACACACAGGCTGGCTGCATAGCTGAGCAACCACTGTGGAAAGTCTGTACTGACACTGGACTGGGAAGGGAGGAGAAGGAGATAGAAGAGGAGAGAGGGAGGGAAGGGAGGAGGGAGAGGGAGGAGAGGAGGAGAGGGGGAGGGAGAGAGGAGAGGGAGAGGGAGGAGAGGTTCTTACTTCAGCAAATCTTCAAAGTTTTCCCTTATTCTCTCCTTAAAAATCACCAAGTGGGTGGTGAGGTCAGGGTGATCATGGCAGTGCTATTCATTCTGATTGGTGCTCAGGCCTAGTGCACTTGAAAATGTCTAGTAAGAAAAGTTGAGGGTTAAGAATGCCAGAGAGGGCTGGGGTCTTTTTCTTTTTAAGATTCATTTAGGTTTTAATCCCAGCTAAAATGAACAGGATTACCTGCCACAGGATATTATGGGCACAGGACAACTTGATTATTGTATAAGCTGAAAACTTTCTGGATGGTGATAAGGACAGGCAATAAAACAATTCAGTAGCAGAACATCTGTTTCTTGTTTTTTTTTATTTTTTTTATTTTTTTTTTTAACGTTTATTTTTGAGACAGAGACAGAGTATGAACGGGGGAGGGTCACAGAGAGGAAGACACAGAATCGGAAACAGGCTCCAGGCTCTGAGCTATCAGCACAGAGCCCGATCTTGAGAGCTCGAACTCACGGACTGGCAGGCGAGAATCAGCAACAACGACTGAGCCACCCAGGTGCCCCCTTGGGTTTTTTTGAACAACAGGAATAGGACAAGAATAGGCCACTTCAGTGTCAGTTCACTGCTTTAAAACAACCTGCCTAGGAGCTCCCATTCATGTGCGTGGGATAGTTCTTTTATTTGAAAACACTGGGTTAAACAGTATTAAGCACTTTTTTTTTTTTAAACAGCAGACTCATTCTGAGTTTTTAACGTACTAAAGTATATTTGATTCTCCAAGAAGGGTGAGCTTATACATTTCCCCAAATTTACTTGACCAGAATCTTCTCCTAAGGCAAGATTTCTGTTTAGAAGATCTTGCTTTGAAGTAATGGTGTTATTTCTCTATCTAGATGCTTATAGCTCTGAATACGATGATTATTTCTGAAATAAATGTACAGTCACAGACTTTACAGTAGAATGAAAGAAGACTGGTATGTGATATGAAGATCAGACCAATTAGCATCCATATTGTCTCATTTATATCCATACCAGACAAGAAAGACTATATGGCCCCCACTGTGAGGCCTGTTGCAAAGGAGAAAAAGACTGGAGAGATATACATTGGTTTTTCTTGATGGTAGATCACAAGCAATTTCCCGTTCCTTTTTTGTCCGTTTCTTCATTTTCCATAATTAACAGGCACTCCTTTAATAACGAGGGGGAAAAAAAGAGTGCTATTTCAAGAGACTTGTATTTGTACTCAGTTACAAGCTGCACCAGCTTGAATTCACCTTCACTGAAGACTCCGGTCACACAGCCTGTTTCTCCTCCCTCTAGCCAGGCTGCCTGATTTGTCCATCCTGGTATTCCCCTCATCCCTGCTCCAGACTGGATCTGGATCTGTAATTTTGGTTCAGTTTTTTTTTTTTTCTAATAAAGTAAGCTTTATGTCCAACATGGGGTTTGCAATTCAAGACTCTGAGATCAAGAACTGCATGCTCTACTGATTGAGCCAGCCAAGCGCCCCCCAAAAGAACATTTCTTTCTTTCTTTTTTTTAATTTTAAAAAAAGTTTGATTTTTGAGAGAGACAGAGTACAAGTGGGGGAGGGGCAGAGAGAGAGGGAGAGACTCAGAATCCAAAACAGGCTCCAGGCTCTGAGCTGTCAGAACAGAACCCGATGCGGGGCTTGAACTTGTGAACTGTGAGATCATGACCTGAGCTGAAGTTGGACGCTCAACCCACTGAGCCACTCAGGTGCCCCAAAAACATTTCTAATAGTTGCCACTATTAGACCGGTGGAACAGGCCTCTTTACAATGTTCACTTCTGCTTTCAACAGCATGTCCAGGTGGCAAGAAGGGACAGGAAAGATGCCGGGACTCTATCAGGCCTCTTCCAATCCAAACTCTCTTAGGAGCACCCTCTTCTCAAATATGCCCTCAAGACTACCCATAAATCAGGAATAAGGCTCACTTCCATGAGTTCTCCAAATTTCAGTCTTCGTAGGCAACCGTTCAAACAAGTATTTATTGTTAGGAAGAGTTTCTGGCAGGGTGGATTTCCTCTTTAGGAGAGTCAGCATTTCCCAAGTTTAGTGGATTTTCAACCCTGCCACTGACCAGAGAGGATTTCTAAATTCGGATACAGTACAGGTCTAGAGGTGTGCATGCTCTACCGCAGAGCTTCTCAGTTTTTATAAACATCTTTTGGAATAAGTCAACTTCTTTACTTGGAGAATTTTTATTATATTGCAGCTGTTGAAACAGTGATTTAACAGAATGGGCACCGACAGGCACATTTATTGAGACACACACACAATCTGCCAATACACACCTGTATTTCTGGTGGGCAGAGATAATATTCTGAATTATGTAGCAAACAGAGGCTGTACACAGGCAAAGTCAGAGCAAAGAAAGATAAAGTAGTCTTTTCTTTATCTTTGGTGACCACGACACCATTTATCACAAAGTTCATGTTAACATATAAGGTGTTCTCTTCGGCCATAAATAGGCCAGGCACTTGAAAACTCATTACTAACAGTTTCATGAGGGCACTCTCTAATCACTTTCAATAACTCCCCTGCTTCTGGTAAAACCAGCTGGAAGCATAAGCAAATGCGCTTCTTTTGGGCATTTCTTGTGAAAGAAACTCAAATGCTCCTTTTCCCTTTTGCTTTCTGTTTCTACTTCCTCATCCTACTTTTGGTTTCAGTACAATATTTTCAGATAGGCCTTCAGTCTTCTGCCTCATTTACCACCTGAAGTCTTGTATGAGGGGTACCACTGGCCCTGACAGTTTAGACAAAAGCTCAAAATGGTTTCCTGTAAGTAGCTATTAAAGCTAAAAGAAACATATTTCTCACTTGGGGCCCAAAAGTTCTCAACCTGCAGGAGAAAGTCTATATACTAACATATTCCAAAGTTTAGATATTTCAGAAAAATATTCTGGATTTCAGGATAACCAAGAATCAATACATCTGTGTCTTCTAAGTAATTAGAAGTAAACTGCCTTTGCTGTCACTTTCAAAAATACAAAAAGTAGTCATCAAATAAGGAAATGGCTTTGTAAAAAAAGTAGTTTTAATTCATTTCCAGGGACAAGGTGTTGTAAAAATAAAGTGTGCTCAGTTGCTATGTGTCCAACTTCGCAAAGCTCAGATGATGACCTTGAGGTTAGTGAGCTGAGGCCTCACGTCGGGCTCTCTGCTGTCAGTGCGGAGCCAGAGAGCCTGCTTTGGATCCTCTGTCCCCCTCTCTCTCTGCCCCTCCCCCTGCTCTCTCTCTCTCTCTCTCTCTCTCTCTTTCAAAAATAAGTAAAACATTAAAAGAAAGGAAGGAAGGGGGCGCCTGGGTGGCTCAGTCGGTTGAGCGTCCGACTTTGGCTCAGGTCATGATCTCACGGTCTGTGAGTTCGAGCCCCGCGTCGGGCTCTGTGCTGACAGCTCAGAGCCTGGAGCCTGCTTCTGCTTCTGTGTCTCCCCCTCTCTCTGCCCCTCCCCTGCTCATGCTCTGTCTCTCTTTGTCTCAAAAATAAATAAAAACATTAAAAAAATAAATTAATTAAAAAAAAAAAAAGGAAGGAAGGAAAGGAAAGGAAAGGAAGGAAGGAGGGGTGTTTCTAGAGACGCAACATGTTTTCCAACATGACTGATGCAAGTTCATTTGGAACAATGTCTTCAGGGGTGTATGCCCACAGTAATAAACACAGCCTATCCTGTGAGCTCACGGCCAGAGCCATCAAAGCAGAAGGCGGACAGACATCCAATCAGGACATGACAGTGGTCTTCGATTAAAACTTTGCTTTAGCCATATGGGCTTCTTTTAAAATGCAAATATGCCTGGAATTGAGGTTTGGGGCTTATTTATTTACACTTTTACAGAAATTAGTGTGAAATTGGACTGTTTCTTAAAAAATTAAGACCGTTTTCTTCCAAAGATGTAGATAAAAACCTTGCAGGAGAACGAAAGGAATTCCGATGATGGGGTGGGGGTTCACATCTCTGGGGAGATTTAGGCAAAAACCGAAAAGGAAACACAGGTGAGCCAGAATACACTGGTGGCCGCAGCACCGCAGGCCCCTCCAGCGCCACGGTGTCTCGGGCTCCCAGAACCCAGACCAGCAGCACCAGCAGCACAGAGAAGCCAGATGAGGGGTGGCTCCTGTGGGCTAGCTTGAGAAAAGACAGTAAGCCACCCTTTAGAACTCTCATTCAATGAAATTGCTTTCCAATTCCAAGATTCTGACATACAAAGCATCTCCTGGGACACAGCCCATCAGTGAACTGGGGGGCCACTACACCTAGAGTCGGCGCCACAGCGGAGTTCACGTCAAGGAGGCGCGGGCAGGAGTTCTCTACTGGCTGCGGAGCGCCGTACCACTCGTCTCGCCAGAGCCTTAGCGCCGCCTGCCTGTGCCCTGGGCGTGATAGCGTCCTCTGGGGTCAGCCCTAAGCACATACTTAACAATAAGGGTTTGGTTAAATTAAGATTTGTCTTCAGGACTGGATAAAATTACAAATACCACAGAGGACTCTTTAGCGTAAACTGGAAAAAGGCTGTTGAACTGAAAAGTAGGAGGTACAGGGTGATCTATTTTTGTAAAAAACCACCACACACGACCTAATGTACAAATAAAAAGACGGGAAGGAAACAGACTAAAACACTAACAATGGGAGTAGTAGGGTTACAGATAATTCTAGTTTTAAGCTTTTCTGCCTCTTCCAATTTTTGGACAATAAGCAGGAAATCAGGGGAGAAACAAATTAGTAGACTCAGTAGCAAACAGAAGCGAGGGGGAAAGTAATTTTTTCATCTCTCATATATCATTAATTAGATCTATGTTGTAAAAGAAATACTTACTCGGCCATGAGTTTGGCTATGCGGTGACAGTCATTCTTATCGTAAAACCAGATGCTATATATCGACACTTGAAAAACAAAGGAGAGAAAAAGATAATGGGAAATGCGGTTTCAACATTTGAGTATACGTAAATACTATATTATTACCACGGAATGTCAGAGAATTAACCACCAACAGAATTTACCATCAAACCCTCAAATTGTTAAGAGTTCCTCTAAAGAAAAAAAACCCTCTCCCTTAAACTGCTTAATAAAATTATTAATAAAATTAAGATAGGTAAAATATTCAGATGAAAATTGCGAAAGAAAGTTTTCAGACATGATTTCCAGATCTCATTGAGCCTAAGGTGCCACTAAGTGTAAAAGGTACCATTATTTTCTGTGTTACCAAGAAAGGAAAGTGCTGTTAAACTAAGAATCAACATTGTGAGATGCATTTCAAATTGACAGTGAAATGTGAAAAAAAGTGTTTTAATTATCGAAAACCAAGTTCACCCACCAGCAGAACCAAACAACAGAACCTCCATCAATCTTTTGAAGCTTGAAATATGGAATCAGTAATTACAATAAAAACAAACACCAGCTCCAGGTCCAGCCTATGATCAACATCGTTCACGCAGGAAATGGAAATGCTGGGGCTGAGCTCAGTCTATCACACTTCTTTTCCTTTTTCATTCCCAGCACGTGTGGTGTGATCAACACTAAGAAAACCTTCAAAAACTATTTGGTGAATAGATAAACGAACTTTATAATTAAAGGTTAACAATACATAAAAACCACTGTAAACACTTTCTGGATAAGGTGGGACAGAAATACTGAATTGTAAGTCAAAACAAACATGAATAGCTATGGCTCATTGCTACCACGTGCGCCCACCATGATACTCACAGCTTGGCCCAGGCTGCACCTTCCTTCATACTTAAAATGACTGGTACAGGCAGTGCAGATATCATTATGTCTTTTTTTAAAAATTAAACTTTTTTTTTTTTTTAAGACAGGAAGTAGAATTTATTGGTGGGCATGAATAAGGAGGGAGCAGTGCTGAGGTTCTCATGAGTGCAGAGCCTGTTGTTTGTCTAAGAGGCCATGAGTAGGGATGTATTTGACCCCACAGCCATCTGGGATGAGCTGCTTTTCAGCCATCATGTCTCCAAATTTGTCCACATTAAACTTAGCCTTATTTCTTGGAAATGAAGATCTTCTGGTGGCCAGAGGACCTGAACTTGGCTCTCCATAGGGCCTCGATCACATGGTCCTGGAAGGACATGATGACATGGCCACTGTGGACCCTAACCATGTGCCCTGGGGGTTTCCAAAGGCACTCCACATACCTGTCTGGAGCCCGTCAACCCCAGCACAGGACAACATCTTGTTGATACAGGTGATGGGGATGGGGTGGAGTTGCACTTGGATATGAAAACCATCTTTGCCATAGCTTTTCACCATGTACTTGCTGGCAAAAATACAGGCAGTCTCCAGGGCTTCAGAGGAGAGCTGCTCATATTCATCTGACGTCATGTGGCCACATAGTGGGAACCCATTCACATTTGCCTTCTTCTGCCCCAGGTCAAAGATGTGGATATTGGCATCAGGGACACTTCTGCCGAAGTGAGACTTTGGGTATGTTTTGTTCTTACAATACCGGTAACACCATGGCGACACCAGGATTTTCAGTCGTGCTCCAAAGGAAAAGGGCTAAATTAAACTTTTAATTTTGAAATAATTGTAGCTTCACACACACTTGGAAAAAATAAACAGAGACTGTATGTGCCCTTTGTTTCTTCCATTGGTAACGTTTGGTAAAACTATAGTATGATTTCACAGCCAGGCTTCTGACACTGATACAGTCAAGTTACAGAACATTGCTGTGGCCACAAAGATCCCTGGTGGACTTTTATAGCCACACCCTCTTCCCTTGGTCCCTCTCCCCCATCTCTGACTCCTGGCAGACACACTAATCTGTTCTCTGTTTCTTTAATGTTGTCATTTCAAGAATGTTACAAAATATAAAGGGAATCATATAACATGCAACTTTTTGAGACTGAGTTTTCTAACCCAACATAATTCTTTGGATATTCATCCAAGTTGTTGCTTGCACCAATTGTTCATCCCCACCCCCACTCTCTTTTTCGGCTGTGTAGTATTTCATGGTGTGGCCATACCTGTTCAAATGTTCATCCACTGATGGACACGTGGTGTGTTTCCAGTTTTGAGCTATTAACAAATAAGCAGCTATGAATGTTCATGCACAGGTTTTCGTGTGAATGTAAGTCTTCATCTCTGGGTTAAATGCCCCAAAGCACAGTTACTGAGTCACAGAAGTTGCATGTCCAGTTTAAAGAAGAAACTGTTCTCTAGAGTGTTGGTACTATTTTATATTCTTACCAGCAACATATGAGCAATCCAGTTTCTCTGCATCCTTGCCAGCATCTGTTCTTCTATTTTTAACTTCATCCATTCTGACAGGTATATAGTGGCATCTCACTGTGGTTTTAGTTTACATCTCCCTAGAAGCTACTGATGCTGAACATCTTTTCATGTGCTTCTCTGTCATCCATATTTTCTGTTTAGTCAAATGTCTGTTCATGTCTTTTGCCCCTTCTAATTGGACGTTTTTTACTGTTGAATTTTATGAGTTCTTTAGATATTCAAGATACTAGGCCTTTGTTGGATATGTGGTTTGAAGATATTTTCTATCTGGAGCTTGTTTTTCATTCTTAGCAAGGTCCTTCCAGAGCAAAGATTTTTAATTTTGACAAGGTCCAACTTACCAATTTTTCTTTTTATGGATCATGCTTTTGGTGTCAAGGATTCTTTCCTGATGGACCCGCAGTAACAAAATTTTCTATGATTTTTCCTAAAAGGTTTATAGTTTTACATTTCAGTAGGTAATCAATTTTTTAAAATGTTTTATTTATTCTTGAGAAAGATTTGGGGGGGGGGGAGGGTCAGGAGCAGAGAGAAAGAGAGACACAGAATCTGAAGCAGGTTCCAGGCTCTAAGCTGTCAGCACAGAGCCTGATGCGGGCTTGTACCCAAGAACCATGATATCATGGGCTGAGCCGAAGTCAGACGCTTAACCAACTGAGCCACCCAGGTGCTCCATCAGTTGGTAATTGATTTTGAGTTAATTTTTGTATAAAAAGGTTTAGGTTAAGGTCTTCTTTTGGTCTAAATGTTCTATCCAGCATTATTTGTTGAAAATGCTCTCCTCTCTTTATTGAGGAGTATTTTGTACCTTTGTCAAATATCAGTTGGGTATATTTGTGTGGGTCTATTTCCAGATTTATTTTATCCTATTTATGTGTTTATTCCTCCACCAGTACCACACTGTCTTGATTCTTGTGCTATACAGTAGGCCTTAATAATTCCCCCCACTTTATGCTTTTCCAAATTGTTTTATCTTCTACGGCCTGTGCTTTTCCATAGAAGTTTTAGAATAAGTTTGTTTATGCCTACAAAAAACATTGTTGGGATTTTGATAGAAGAAAGTGCTTTAAACCTACAGAGCAATTTGGGAATAGGTGAATTTGTACTATGTGGAATGCTTCAATGCACAAGTACAGTCTATCTCTCCATTTATTTAGATCTTCTTTGATTTCTTTCATCAGTAATTTTCAGCACACAGATCCTGTACATGCTTTGTTAAATTTATGCCTACGTACTTAACTTTCTTTGTAAGGGCTATAAATGGTGGCTTGTTTTTAAGGTTATCTTTTTTAAGTAATCTCTACACCCACTGTGGGACTCTAACTCATGACCCCAAGATCAAGAGGCGCATGCTCTGCTGACCGAGCCAGCCATCGCCCCTAAATGGTAGTTTTTAATTGTGACTGAGTTTTGAATGTTGATCTTGTATTCTCATATCTTACCAAGCTCACTAATTAGTTCTAGGAATTTGTACTTAGTCTGTTATCTGCGAATAACATTTTTATTATTTTTCTCCCCTTTCTCTTCCAATATGTAGGCCTATTTTTCTTTCTTGCCTTATTGCAGTGGTTAGAACTTTCAGTGCTATGTTGCACAGCAGTGTTGACAGTGGACATCCTTGCCTTGTTCTCAATCTTAAAGGGAAAACATTCATCCTTTCACTGTAAGTATAATGCTGGCTGTAAGTCTGTTGCAGATGCTCTTTATCAAGATCACATAATTTACTTCTATTCCCAACTTAAGAGTTTTTATCATGCATGGACATGGGTTTTTTCCCTGCATCAAAAACACTAAATATGATCATGTGATATTTCTATTTCATCTTTAGTCTTTTGATATGGTGGATTAAACTGATGTTCAATGTATTTTTTTTAAATGTTTATTTTTGAGAGAGTGTGTATGTGTGTGCGCACAAGTAGGGAAGGGGCAGAGAAAGAGGGAGAGAGAGAATCCCAAGCAGACTCTACACTTGGTGCGGAGCCTGACAAAAGGCTCGATCTCATGACTGTGAGATCATGACCTGGGCTGAAACCAAGAGTCAGGTGCTAAACTGATGGGAGCCACCCAGGCGTCCCTTACTTTCAATACTGAACCAGCTTTGCAGATCTGGAATAAAACCCTTTTCTCTATATTGTTGAGTTTGCTAATATTTGGCTGAGGATTTTTTTTAACTTACTAAAAATTTTTTTGTTTTTTAATGTTATTTATTTTTGAGAGAGACACAGAGTGCAAGCAGGGAAGGGGCAGAGGGAGAGGGAAACACAGAATCTGAAGCAGGCTCCAGGCTCTGAGCTGTCAACACAGAGCCCAACGCAGGGCTTGAACTCACAAACTGTGAGATCATGACCTGAGCCAAAGTTACATGCTCAATGAACTGAGCCACCCAGGCACCCCCTTTTTAACCTACTTCTTGAGAGATACTGGTTTGTGGTTTTCTTTTATTGTACTGTCTGCCTAGTTTGGGTATCAGAGTAATACTGGCTTTATAAAATCAGTTGAAAATTGTTCCCTCCTTGTCTGTTTTCTGGAAGAAACTATGTAAAATTAGTGTTAACTCCTCTTTGAATTCTCCAGTAAAACCATCTAGGCCTGGAGATTTTTTTCTTTTGAATTATGAATTCAATTTCTTCAATGGCTA